ATATTACTATAATAAAATTAAATAAATGTTATTAAGATACGTGCCACAATATTAGTGCTACACAATCCATTCTCTTACCACGTCTTTTATCCTTGCAGATCCTCCTTCTATTACACTAACCCCAACACTTTTTTGAACCCTCTGGGAACTTCAACCGATTGGTCCTACCAACTTTTCACCATTCCTCATTCCCTTGATGTTTTTGTCTCCTCTTTACCAAATCACAAAATTAATCACTATCATCACTCCCTTTCATGCACCTTCAATTCCCTTTCTCTCTTTTCCTATTTCCTCGGCAAAACCACAATCCTGTTCAAATCCAACTCGCCACCAACTCTATGCCTTTACTCAAAAGGCATAGAGTAGCTACACAAAATTAAAGAAATACACAATGATAATAACTGGTCCTACTTTAATTTCAGGACTATGAATCTCAAATGCCCTTTAATGTGAGTTGGCAAACATATTTTCCTCTCCATATCTTTGTTTCTCTCTCTTTCTCCCTGTGATTCCATTCTTATTCTCTGAGATGACCTCGCTTTCCACAATAAAGATTAAACTGACACCATAAGAAAATAACTTATTAGAACCTTAGCACACCTGCCAATATCTACCTACTCCTCCTTCCCACCAGTTACCACAGATAAGCTATCCATGGTCCTATTGTGCATAGCTCTCATCCTCTCACTGATGCCCACATCACAAACTCTCCCCTCTCTCGAACACCATAAATTATCTGCTGGAGAGCTGCTATTTTTAAAAGAAACTCTTGACCTTACTTCTCCTCCAGCTGCTGCCCTATTTCTTCACTACCCTTCACAGGAAAACTGCTCAAATAAGTTGCCTATATTCAGAGCATCTAATTTATACCCTCACATCTCCCTTAAATCCACTTCAATCAGGGTTTCATCCCCACCACTCCACTAAAATGGCTTTTATCAAAATCACCATTGACCTCCACTTTACGAAAATCAATGGCTAATTCTCAGTCCTCATCTGATTTGACTTTCAACAACATTTAACTTAGAAAACCATTCTTCTCTTCTTGATAAACTTTTGTAATTTCCGAGATGTGGCACTTCTGGGTTTTCTTCATCTTTGCTGGTGGTTCTTTCTTGGCCTTCTTTGCTGATGGGTCATGTCCTCTTTGACCCTTTACTATTGGAGTGTCCTAGATCTCAGCCCTTGATGCTCCCCCTTCTCCATTTATACTTCTTCCCTTGGTCATCTCTTTCAATCTCATAGCTTTAAATAGCACATATATGTCAACAACTATTAGTTTTATATCTCTTTCACAGACCAATCATCTTTCAAACTCCAGACATGGAGGTCAAACTACCACCCATAAGATCTTGCCAGCTCTCAATATTATCACATTTATAGTCAAACTTCTGAGCTCAGCCCCACCTTTTCCCTCAAACCCACCAAAATCTGCTTCTCTTGCAGCCTTCACCATCTCAGCTGATTTTACTCAGGCCAAAACACTTTACAGTTATCCTTAGCTCTTCTTTCTCTCCATAATCCTAATCCATTAGGATATTTTGTTGGCCCAGCTTTAAAATATATCTAGACTCTAAATTCTCACCATCACTTCTGCCACTTCTAGTCAGAGTTACTATCATTTCTCCACTGGATCATTCTGGAGGCCTCCTATCTAACCTTTCTCCTTTTATCATCTCCTCCTATAATCTCTTCTCTCCATAGTCTATATTACACCCTGTTAAAATATAAATTAAATTATGGGATTCTTCTGCTTGAAACCCTGGAAGAGCTCTCACTTCACACAGGGCTCAAAGTCCTTACATGGCCTATAAGGTCCTGCCCTTCTGGCCCGTCTGGTCCCTGTGACCTCACTGAGATGATTCCCCACCTCACTCACTCCACTCCAAGTTCAGGAGCCTCCATGCTGTTCTTCAAACTGCCAGACTCAGTCTTACCTTACAACCTGTCCACTAACTGTCCCTCTGCTGGAATGAAGTTGCTCAGACATCCACATGGCTGTCTCAGAAACGTCTAGTTTGTGATTACACACCTTCATGACTCAGTCTACCCTGACCACCATATCTAAAATGGCAACATGCTACCCTCTTCCCACCACCTGATTCTCCTACTTTTTCTTTCTTTCTTTTTTTTTTTTTTTTTTTTTAGACAGAGTTTCGCTCTTGTTACCCAGGCTGGAGTGCAATGCGTGATCTCGGCTCACTGCAACCTCCGCCTCCTGGGTTCAGGCAATTCTCCTGCCTCAGCCTACCAAGTAGCTGGGACTACAGGCACGCACCACCATGCTCAGCTAATTTTTGTATTTTTAGTAGAGACAGGGTTTCACCATGTTGACCAGGATGGTCTCGAGCTCTTGACCTCGTGATCCACCTGCCTCAGCCTCCCAAAGTGCTGGGATTACAGGCGTGAGCCACCGCACCCAGCCCGCTACTTTTTCTTTTATCCATAATATTTATTCTTTTCTTAAACACTATATATTATATATAACTTATATATAATTATAATATAGTTACATATAACTATAATGTAGATCACACAGTTTGCCTATTTAATATAATTATTTATTTATTATCTCTCAAAGTTACTATGTGAACTCCCCAAGGGCAGGGACTTTTGTCTGCTTTGTTTACCGATGTAACTCAGGTACTTGTTGAAACAAAGGCAGGCAGAAAAATTCAGAAGCTATTGTAGTAGTCTAAAACACAGCTAATGAAGGTTTTTTTCAGTCCTACCCTACATATATTTATTGGAAGTATAAAGATAAATAATCCAGAATCCCTGCCCTTAAAGACCTTTCAGTGGACAGATAGACAAGTAATTTCAACACGTTCAAAGATAACAAAGCAAAACCAGGGCATCCTGGGAAGAAAGAACAGCAGAAGCAAAGGCTGGGAGGCATGAAATGGTATCACATGTTTAGAGAAGTGAAAACACGTTGATATAACCAGATGTTATGGTATATTTGATGAGCCAACTTGACCAGGCTACAGTCTCCAATTATTCAATAAGTACCAATCTAGCGTTGCTGTGGTGTTTTGTAGATGCAATTAAAGTTCATAATCCATGGACTTTACTTAAAGGAGATTCTCCTCAATAATCTAGGTCAGTTGAAAGGCCTTAAAAGCAGAGCTGAAGCTTTTAAGAGCTGTGCCCAAGAGTTCTAGCCTGCCCTTGCAGGTAGCCTGCCCCATGAATTCAAACTTGCCTAGCCATCTCCAACAATGAAAGTCAATTCTTTGTAATTAATCTCTAGTACATGCTTTCTACTAGTTTTGCTTTTCTGATTGAACCCTGGTTGATGCACCATAGTAATAAAGCTTAAGGAAGAAGAGAGCAAACAAATGAAGGGTGAAAAACAGCAGGGGCAGAAAAACAGCAATTTCCAACATGCTAAGAGGTTTGAACTGGACCCTGTAATCAGTAGAACAAGCACAGTAACTGGTCAGGGGTAGAGATGAATCATTCTGGATTTGGTACATACTAGGATAGGAGGCAAGAGGAGGAGAGAGATGCTAGAGTGGGGGAAACCAGGAAAGTTACATGGAGAGAGATAAGAGGAGAGCCCTAAGACTGTTATAGAAGCCAAGAGATCAGTGTTTGGGGAACAAGTGGGTTCCCCTTGGTCTGGTGCATCAAGAAAGTCTGGTAGGCACCTATTGTATTGTGATAAAAGGAGATCACTGAGGGCCTCAAAAACAGCCAGGTTGGAGTGGAAGTGCTAGGAACCAGATTGTGTTGGTTGCTCTCGACAGAACAGAGCAATCAAAAGTAAATTATTCTTTCACAGGTTTGGCTTGGAAGGAAGGAGGGAAAAGTGGCAGAAAAGAGAAAAGGATACAGTGTCAAATGATCAAAATGTAGAAGCTTGAGCCTTTTCATAGACTGAGTGTAATCAGCCAGCAGCGTGGAAGGGTGAAAGAGATGAAAACAAGAGGACACATTCTTCTGAGCAAGCTCCAGGAGAGGTGAGGTGACCATGGCTAAAGGACATGGGTGAAGGCTTGATCAAGGACAGTGGGAGGCCTCTCATCTTCTGAAAACTGGAGGAAAGTGAGGAAGGATGGGCAAAGAGCAATATATTTGAAGAGAAAGGATAAGGGACCTCCAGCAATTCATGCCCAATGGCCCCGGTGTTTCTTGGTGGGTTAGGAAACCCCATTACATGCTAAGAGGGAGAAGATGGTGTGACATGGCTAGAGATGGAGATTTGGCTTCATTAGCAGCTGCATGGCCACACACCAGGACATTACAGAGAGGAATCAGGATCAGGTAAGAGTTGTTCTAAATGACTTATGAATTCTCTCGCAATTTGATGTTTCCATAGTCACTTTGCAGGAAAATTTCCTTGGTCACTGATATTTCCTTGAACCCAAAACGATGCCTAGCATGTAGCAGGTACTCAATAAATATTTGATCGATAAATGAATGAATACTTAAATGAGCTTTTCCCCCAAATAAGCACATAAAATGTTTTTACTTCCTTTAATGTAGAATCATTTTAACATTTGAAAGAGATCACAGATGATTTCCAGAAGGTTTAAAACAATGTAATGACTCCATTCTTCTATCCTGATCTCAGGAGGATGTGGGCAAGCCAACACAGATAACCAAGGTTTCAAAGTGGGTGGTTTTTAGCTTGAATTTTTTTCCTGAGCCATCTTAGAGCAAATTATCAGGAAAATGGCCAGGTCTCTATTTTGTTTTATTATATAATGAGCTTTCCTGAACTGAGCAAGAGTTTATGCACTCCACTTTTCATTTAGATTCTACCACTGCACACAGAGTCTCCACCTTCTCTGATCCATCAAACTCTCTCCCCTTTTATTTGTCTTAGTGATATTTACCACTGACTTAGGTGAAAAGAAGGGGAAATAGAACAAGACTCCTAACAAAATCAAGCTTAGCTGAAAGTGTGGCATAATTACATAATAAAACTACAATGCAGGCTGTGGTCAAGTTGCTGTTGAAATGGGTCCCCATTGAACTTCCCCATGCATCACCTGGGTGGAAGACTTTGGTTTTTCCATTAGTGATTCCAGAAGAGCTCGCCTCCATTTTTATTGATCTTCTGCCTGGTGGAAGTGAGGAATGCCTGACAACAGGCAAGTGACGACGTGACGCTGGGCGGCTTGCCACACTTCGCCGTTGATGGATTTGCAAACGCTTTTCAGCCCCATGAATAGATAAACTTAAACCTGGAATAAGAAAATGGCACCATTAGACTGGAGAAGTCACTTCAGAATGGCTAAAAGGCTGTTACACTCTGGTATGAAGTCCAGAGAGCAGAAGCAACCATGCTTCAAATTCTTAAGGTATGTGTCACTCAAAAGTAGACATCCTTAGTTACCAAGACAAGATCTTTATGAACCAAGATTCAATCGGTTAAATCTGAAAATTCTTATAAAGCTTCTTACCAAAATGCTGGGAAAATATGCAAATATTTGGCATGCTGTTACCAAAGCAATAGGGTTTAGGAACTACTGCTGGGGTAACTGGAATTTCAATAAAAATCAGGAATTTTCTCCACAAGATTCACTGACAGGCAAAAGTTGGCTGAACTTACATTTACACTTTGATAATCTTAGAATTATATGAATCTTGAGAACTATTTTATTCTGAATATTTCAAACATGCGAAAAGAAAAACGAATAGTATAATGAATTCCATGTACTCATCAACCAACGTCAATAAATATCAAAACTTTTCCAATCTTTTTTCATCAATCCCACTCCCTTTGTTTTTGGTTTGCTTTTTAGATGCTGGAGTATTTAAAGCAAATTCCAGACATCGTGTCAATCTTCTCAAAAGCAGTAGTGATTACATTGGCTTACCTAGACTACATCATTAATATGGACTCCATCTACTAATTCATATCAACTGTATAAAGAAATGCTGAGTTCAATGTGTATTTTTTAAAAGAAAACACTCATTGATCACCATTGGAGGTTCCTAAGATACCAATTTATTATTCAAAGAATTAATAAAGGGAATAAAGCAAGCATTTATTCTGCCTTTCCTTTACTAACCATTTCTTTTATTAGTTGATCAGGGAAAGTTCTTCACTATACAGAAGGATTCTTGCTAAGAAATAGCAATAAAAGAGAATTGAAAAATCATTTTAGAATTACAATACAAAGTCTACCAAGAACACAGAAACAAGGAAAATAACAAGCCTGCTAAGAAGTAAACTGCAAAATCAGCAGTTATAAGTCATATTAAAGGTAGGAAGGATCACCTTAAGTTTTCCCACAGGAAAAAAAAAGGATATGACCTGGGCCAACTTATGAATTCTAGCGAATCTTAAGGAAGGATGACTCAAATCAGACCAGGGCTTGGTCAGCCAGGAAAGCAAACAGTGTAACACACATAGGCAGTGCTCATCTAAGAAATAGGCTCAAAGTTCAAGAATTCCAACTGCATAGAAGACAGTCCTGACATATATGATTTTATTCTCCTTTATCCATTTAACTACCCTCATTCCAACAGTGCTCACCAGATAACCTGTGGATTAGGATTTGGCTTCCAGTACAGGAAGAGAGTTTTTACACTAGTGTTCCTGTCTACCTGGTAGCCAGGGTTCTCAGTGTGAGCTAACAGATGGACAACCTGAGCTTTCACACTTCTACCTCCACATGAATTGCTTGGCATGAGCTTCTAAGCCTATGATGCTGTGAGCCTGAGCCTTGGTCTCAGGAGATTCACCCAGGTTAGAACTGCCATGCTGGGTGGCCCCTTGGGAGATAGGCTGGCAGGCTGCCCCCAGGCAAGGCATGCCCTGCTCTGATGCTCAGGTGCCTGGGAAAGTGTAAGCCTTCTACTCCCAGAGGTTTCTCTCTATAAGTGGGATAGACAGTGCTCCACCATGCTCTGTGCCACTGGTGCATGTTCCCCATTTCCATGGAGGTACAAACTAAACATATGTAGACCCATCAAAAACTCCAGAAGAATGCAAACAGATTTGTGGGTGACAGATGATGGGAGGAGAGAGACATTTTAAGTCAATATCAGATGATACATGCACTCTCAGTCTGCAAATATGAAACAGACAGCTCTCCTGAAAACATTTATTCTTTTCCTTTCTGCAGAGGATTATTGGGCTGAAGAGAACAGGATTCTGACTCAGCACAGCACTTCTAGCTTTTACATAACTTTTCTTAAGGAAGCACAAAATGATGTAAATGAGAATTGAAATTATATCATGAAAATAAATGAGATAGGTACTTGAAATTGTATTTTAAAAATATAATAATGTAGATCATAGAAAAATGTTAAAAATAAAAAAAATCAAGAATATTTCCAGTAGAAGACAGATATGAGGAAACTGGGTATGTTACATGGAAATTTGGAAGGAATCTTTAATGCCTGAGAAAAAATTCACATTTCTTCTCTGGGAACTAAGCATCCTCAAAGTACAGATAAAAGGCCTAGCCTAAGAGAGCTCTCCTCACACAAGGGCTAAGTCAATGAGAGAAAGAGAGATTTGTAAATAACTAGTTTGAAAGATAGAAAATATACTCCAGACATTTGAAAATGTTAGCATTTATAGAACATTCTGAAGTCACATCTTTAAAAATGAATTGTCAGCCAATAAATTGCATCATCCAATTTGTTCTTATTCTAGAAAAAAAATAGTTGACACTAATTATCTATTAAATGTCAGGTACTACACTAGATATTGATCATTATCCCATTAATGCCTCATCACAACTATAAAAGACAGTGAATTGGTATCTACATTTTACCAATGGGAAATCTGAGGCTTAAGAAGTTACTTGACCAAGGTCACACAACAAAATGATTAACTGATATTTTAACCTTGCCTTTTTCCACTAGGCCATGCAGCCTAATGGATTCAATACCAATATAAACACTAATTGTTTTAAGCCTGTAGTGGTTCTGAACCGTAACTTAACAGAAATTTATCCTTGCGGGGAGGAGGGGCATAGATTGGAAAGTACAGAATGTTAGGAATCCTTTGACCTAAGCTCTTAAAGAACCACCTGTTTCTTCTCTCTCCCATGCTTGGCTCCTGATTCTTGATCATCAAAGACCTTAGTGATTGTCAAAGACCTTAGTAAGAACTAGCTAGAGCTGTACTTTCACCTTGACACACTTCAGTTCCTCTCACCCACTCCAGTCAACACTTCAGTCTCTCATCTTGCAATTAGCCCTTATCATGCAATGTCCTTGAACTCTCATTCATCTGCCAGTATATGGATGGTCCATTTCTCAAACATTCAAGAGTCTCTAATGGCAAAGGCAAAGGTCATATTGTGCACTTTTCTGATTCCTTCCCCATCTCTGAACAAAGTAGTTTCCATAGGGCAGGTGTGGGGTGATGATCCCCCCTCAGTCCCTTTTCCCTCTGCACTTTGCACACTACATGGTGCAGACACCTTGGGCGTAAACAGAGCACTGTGCCAAGAGCCAGTCAAGGAAATGGCACTGAGCATACTTACCTGTGTAGAAAATTTTTCATTTAGTGCTTCCTGTTTTACTGTATCCTCACAGTCTGTCCTGGGTGCCTTGAGGCCCGAAACTTAGCTGCCTCCCTCAGCCTCATCAGAGAGTTTCCTCTCCCACTCAGCTGAGAAGATGGGGCCCAGGTGATATAAAGTTTCTAATCCTCCTTTCCACCCTCAAATCACAGTTACAAAAATCCTTTTCCTCTTGAGACACAGCATCCACCTTACTTGATAAAATACCTAAAGTCAGAGCCTTGGGAAACACACACTCTGGGGAATAAGGTGAGGTTAGTACAAAGTAGTGTTTAAAATGTGGAAGCTGTAGTCAGAATTCTGGGCTCACATAATTCTGACTACAGAGTTCTTGGCCACACCATTTACTACCTATGTTACTTAATGCATTTATTTACTATTTTGCCTCAGTTTTTTCACCTGTAAAATGGTGTAACAATAATTCATACCTCAGAGGGTTTTGTGGGAATTGAGTTTATATGAGTTTATACCTACAGAGTGCTTATGCCAGTGTCCAGCATAATGGGTACTCAGAACAGATTAGCTGCCATCATTAGCTTCTATCATATCAATGATTCTCCTTAGTCTTTGTTTTTACCCATCAGGCTCCAGGCTCTAGCATTTACACCATTGCCTCTGCTCACCTGTTTTTAAGCTCTTTCTTTGGCTTTTGTTTTCATGACACTTAAGCTTCTTGCCACCTCCCCTTACCTTTTTAAATTCTTTTTGTTCTTGTTCCCAAAAGTGAGTGTATTAGTTTCCAAAGCCTGATGAAACAAATTACCACAACCAGGATTGGTTCAAACAGGATTTTATCGTCTCACAGTTCTGGAGGCCAGGCGTCCCACTCCACAGTGTCAGCAGGGCTCTGTGCACTGCTGTATGTTCCACAGAAGTGCAAGCTGAACACCTGCAGACCCATCAAGACTCAGAAAAGCAAACACAGAAGCTCTGGGGGAGAATCCACTCCTTGCCTCCTTCAGCCTCTCATGGGCGCCAGCATTCCTTGGGGTTCCTTGCCTTGTGATAACATTACTCCAATCTCTGTCTCTGTCATTATATTACCTTCTCAGTGTTCATATCCAATCTCCCTCTGCCTCTCTCTTATAAGGACACTGGTTATGACATTTAGGGACCACCTGGATAATTGAGGATAATCTCCCTATCTCAAGATCCTTAACAAAATCACATATGCAAAGACTCTTTTTCCAAAAAGGTAACATTGGCAGGTTCTGGGAATTAGAATGTGGACAGGTATTTGGCAGCCATTATCAGCCTACCACAGCGGGCATTTTCCAAAGTTTTGATTTTGGCCTTTTCTTCTCTCCATCCTGTCCATCCTTGGGGGATCTTATGCACTCCATATCTGCATCTGTAATCTCTATGTGATCAGCTCCCCAAGTCACGCCTCCCACTTTACTCTGTCTCCTAAACATCAAGCCTACGTTTCCTGCTTGGTCTGAGTTTTCTCTCAAGAAACTTGATGAGTCCATGGAACCACAATAAATGACTCATATTTTAATAAATAAAAATCAAAGCTCAGATTTTCTTTAAGGCTCTCAAATATTTTCTTTACTCCTCAAAAATCCTACCTAAAAAGTGAGAATTTTTCTGAATAACATAAAATTCTTAGGTGTTCTTTTTCTCTGGCCCACTTCCAAGGTGCACTATTTCTGGCTTCACTGCACAGTTAGCAGTGTGCCTGTGTAAAAATGACT